GCCTGTCAGTCTGATGGGGCCGCGCGCCGATTGGGCTGGCGACCGCCGGGGAGCGGGGGCAGCACGTTGGGGTGCGCGCTACTTAAGGTCCTGCTGCGTGAGCCATTGACGTGTTTGGAGCTGGAGACGGCCTGGGCGCTGGCGAAGCGGCAGCCCGAGGTGAGTGGTCCCCCGCCCCTCCCTCTGCTGCCGCTACTGGGAAGCGGAAAGAAAGGGGCGCATCTGGGCCGCCACGGGGTCCGAATCCACTTTTGCAGCGCACAGCTGCTCCCTCCAGGCCTTGACGCAGCGCGGGCCGCTTCCTGTTGGTCTTCTCGCTACCCGGGTCTGTATAACCGGGGGCGAAGAAAGTGACCCCGTACCTTGTCACGGCACCTCCAGGTCTTCTTCATCCTCCTCTGCAGCTTTCGAAACTAGAACGCCCCCCTCACTCACCCACTTCCCACTTCTCAGCGTTTTCGCAGTCCCGGACCCCCTCTTCGTCGCAGCACCAAGAAAGGTGTGCTCACCTATATCCGTTTCCACGATTAGACGCTGACAGGCAGCACCTTGGAAGGCAGCGCGGCCTCGGATTCACATCCTTTCAATTTTTCCTTCGGCCTGCCTGCCCCATTCCGGTATGCACCTTTGACTTACTGCCCCTGGCCCTCTGCACCCAGCAGTAGTTAAGGTTATGGTGTTTCTGCATCTCGATTTAGCAGTCACAGATCCTGCCTAGACTCTGACCAGCCAGTGGGCATGCACGTGTTCAGTAACCTTCCCTTCCTCTTTCCCTTTAAAAGCTACTTGAAGAGGGGGGTGTGAAGGACTGTGTAAGAAATCAAGAACTACTTTGTTAAACAGTTTGCTCCTTGGAGTGGATTTTAGAGTTCTGCCTCCGATGTGACCCCTCCTTCAAATCTTTGGATTTCTTTCTGGCTATCATGCTAGTATTAGAGTCTTGTAACATTTGTTTAGTGCTGTACCTTCAAAAAGTAAGTAGATAAGGAAGGCCTCTTTAGCTGAGCACTCGATCTGGCCCTTCAGCTTTACTTCTGGCTGTAAATTGACATTCCTCTTCATTTCCAGTTTAACACATAGGAGATCAGGCAAAGGAGGTGATATTTCGAAATTTAAAGTGACTTGTGCTTATAATCCGGAAGGAAAAGAAAATGAAACGCAAATAAAAATGCGAATAAACTCATGCAGCAAACGTGATCCGGGTGTGGATATTACCTAGTTGTTATTTTTAAAGAATTTCTGATGATGAAATACAGAGTAGATATTTTCATGTAAAGTAATCAACTTTAATTCTGTGTCTGATCATTGCCGAGATTATTATATACAAGGGTTATTTATGAACAGCTTAGAATTCTGTGTTCTCACATAACAGGATAGATGTGAAAAGGAAAGTTGTGAATTTATTTAGCACCATTATTTTTCTTAGGAGAAGTCAGCCTGCAAAAGAATTGTGTCCCAGAGAGCAAAAGTCTTCAGATATAATTGAATGGCATCTTGAATTTCCTTTTTGCCAAGATGTTTTAGTTCACTGGCTATTTTCATGTACTAGTCAATGAAAATCACAAAATAAAATTATTTAGTGATTACTAAAAAGTAATCAGAATAACCAGACCCTTTCCTGCCCTTGTTTGCAATGACTGGGTCTCTTTCAACCTGGACATCTGATTTTTCCCTTCTAAAGTTTATATTTTTATACATTTTTTTGGTATTGAAAAGCATAATTATCCTAAGTTACAAAGGACTACAGCAGGACTAGAATAATGAATCGCTTCAGCTGGGAAAGCAGATACTCTCAATAATACTAACATTACACAAACCCATTCAAGTATTTTACTTTTTTTTTTTTTTTGGTCCTTCTAAATGTGATATCCTGCCACAATGTATAGATATTGTACTAGGAGTGTGAGGTGGAACCTTCTCCATCAAGCCAGATGACAAGTTTTCTTTTCCGGTGAGACATAGGCTACAAGTTCTTACTTTCTCTGCCTCTGCTTTTAACATGGCTGAAGGAGAAGGTGGGGGCTGGGTAGAGTCCAGGGATCTTTCCACACAAGAGGTACCTTGAGACTCTCATTCAGGAGATGCCAAACTGTCTAGACCAAGCTACCCAGGTTTTTGGCCAAAGACCCCCCTCCAACCTCCCTAACTATTGGTTTTGCTTCTCCTTTCCACGTTCAGAGACTTCTCAGAAGCTTCCTTTATTTTGTAAATCAGCCATCAGAAAAGGGGGGGGGAAGAACTACAGTAGAACAAAAACATTCAATAACTTTGACTTGGGGATTCAGGGTCTGTATCTGAGCCCCAGGGTCCAGGCTGAGGCAGGGATGGGTAGGCCTTATTTACTGGTGGTGCATTTGTTCCCAAGTGTACTGGGTAACACTTTATGGAGAATACCTGCACATTTTAGGAGCTTGTCTGATATGATTGTTTTTTTCTGAATATATTTATTTTAACACTATCAATATTTTTTTGTGATCCCATCTTTGGCACAGAAAGTTGAGACCATTTCTTTTTTTTAAATTTTATTTATTTTTAGTTGTAGATGGACACAATACCTTTATTTTGTTTATTTTTATGTGATGCAGGACCGAACCCAGTGCCTTGTGCATGCTCTGCAAGTGCTCTACCACTGAGCCTCAACCCTGGCCTGAGACCATTTCATATAAAAATTCTGACCTCTGTGGTTTTACTGACAAATTCATTTTTTTACTCAGTGGAGTTTTGTGGGTCACAAGACATTATTTGCTGGCTTGCCCTTTGACCCTTAGGAAGAAGGATGATTAAGCTAGAACTAGATTTGGGAGTACAAGGCAAATCAGCTCCTTAGGCTTAGTTCACAGTATTTTAAAATATTGAGGGTGGTTTGTCAATAGTATAGCAATACATTGAAACCAAAAAATCACTTTGAAATAATTTACTTAACTGTTTTTTAAATTTTTTTTCTATGACATTTCTTTGAAGGTAGTTGCCATACCAATTTCAGTTGAACCCTCCCAAATGGAGTTAACTGAAAGAAATGTTTTTAAAAAACTCTATGGCTTTGCAAAATGTCAACTAAACCATAACTTGGCTTTTTGCTATATTGCTGTCCTAGTGTTGGTCACAGAGTAGTCATTCTGGTTATTAGTTGACTAAAGTTTTTGCTAAGGTGGGCTGTACTGGATTATCCTTTCCTTAATTTATATGCTAATTAGTGTATAATAAGGAAGTATTATTAGATTTTATTAATATATTTAGTTGCTTACACTTAAGGAATAAGAGTAAACCACAATTAAATATAGTTGAACTATCTTTCTCACTGGGCGTTAGAATCAAATTTCAGTATATGTATTTCAATATGGCTTTTATATTAAGGCACATGGCAGTACAAAGGAGAAACATATCCCAAATGCAGAGGATCCATGAAATTCTAAATGATCATTATGCCAGAATTAAATTTTCAGTATTTGTGGGGTCAGTAAGACTTATTGACTTATTTTCTGTCATCCACTGCCTAACAATTTTTTGTCTATCAACCTTCAGTAAGAAGACCTAGGATGCCCGTGGTGACGCACCGACTGAGAGATCCTGACATAAATCCTTGTTTGTTGGTAGGGTGGTTTGCTTTTCATTTTCCTGAGTGTTAAGTTGAAGAAAAAACAAAAACAAAACAGGCTTCTTCTAATTGTGGGCTTTTCTTTTCTGCAGTTGTTGAATAAAGATATTTTTGTACAAAATGTACTCCTGACTAGTGTTTTTTATTTCTCCAGAGTGTTTTTAGTTGTTCATGATTTAGCTAATAAAGATTCTTCTTTAATTTTGCTTCTTTGTAAAATATGCAAGCCTTTAGTTGGCACTATAAAACTAGAGAGGCATTTGTAAGACTAAAAAAATCTTTAGTCCAAACATGGAAAACTGGAAGGCATCACATTTTTAAGTTGCCACTGAAATTTGTGGTTTTAATAGCACTGGTTTTATCATGTTCTTGAGACAACCAGGCTGAGAGTAATTGGCTGATAATAGATAACCTATTTAAGCCTAAAGGTTTTCACAAAGTTGTCTTATAGAGAGGATGTTTTATTGTAATAATAAGCTTGTATTTGCATTAATTTGGTATGATTTATACTCTTGTAATTTTGTCATCCTTGTACAATGCTGTGATTATATTGATGCTATGAGGAATTACATTGCCTGACCCTCTATGTGTTTTTCAAAAATATGCATTAAATATTTGGCATAGAAGTATAGCTTTCTTCTGTATATTAGATTTCAACAGCTTTATTAAGTAAATCTATTTAAATAGAACATATTTCTTAGGTCTGTGAAGCAATTAGAATACCTGTTTAATTAAATCGTACTTTTAGGTAACTTCTCATAATCATCTCTTTCACTTTGAAGTTTGTCATCCAACCTCCTTCCAGTTAAGACAGCTTAAATTTAATTCCCAAAAGGCACCTACCCTCTTTTAAATTCATATCCCTGTGTTCACTTTGGTTTTGAAGTGATATTAATAATAACTATTAAAATTTCTTACATATTTTACTTGAGTAGTAGAGTAAATGATAGCCAAAAAATGTACTGAGATGAATGGTGTTAATTTAGGTTGCCTTGATGTAGACCACTTATTAGCAATTTATTTGAAATCTCAAATCAGCATTAAAGTCAAATGTCAA